AAAGAAGCAGCAAGAAGAGATGTTCTTGTAGTTTCGCTGTACACATCTATGAGAGAATGAAAGTAAAAGTAAGAAGGAAGAAAATACGCGGAATCATATTCTCTTTCCTCGTGTATACACCATATATGGCAATACAAGAGTGTACTTGATAGGGGAAGACACAAATATTGCAGTCAAATTGTGCAAAAAGATGTTGAATAAACAGACGCAAAAATCAGCCTAATTCAAGCTGATGACTAAATCGTCAACACTGTAGAAGAAATTGCTCAAACCCCGCTGACGATTGTGTAAAATTTGAGTTTAAACTCTCGAGGAAACCTTGCCTCGTTTTGAGAGTTCTATTAGAGCCTCTGTAATGCTAATTTTCGGAAATTTTTAGGAAATACAGGCTGTTACCACTTGGAAACTACTACTTGAGATAAGTAAAAAACACTTGCTTACTCCAACAGATTTCTGGAAAACCTCACGGTCCTTATACTTTTAATTGGTTTTCTACAACTTTTATTGAATTTCATTTGAACAAATAGTAAAAGTGATTTTTCGCCACCGTTCTCATAGTTTGAAGCTCCGAAATATTTTTGTTCTGATTCGGCATCAAAAATAAAATTTAAAAATGCATTTTTCGAGCTCGTAGCCTAGAACTTGGCCTGACAGCAGACTAAAATACAACTTAGTTCACCATCCAGCTTCAAAGAAAGCCATCTGTTTGATCTTTCTTCCTTCTTCGCGCTTATAGAATTGAACATAGAAATCAAGAAAACGAGAAAAGAACAATTTTTCTATTTTAATTTAGATAGTCATTTGTTATATCTAAAAGAAGCAGTGCTCACCCTATATTCTAGCAACTTCGCGAATTAAAATTAAATTAACTAGGGAGGACCCTTTTCTACTTTTTATACTAGTTTGAAGTACACAAGTTGTACTATATACTGATGTATTTTCTAGAGAAAGATCCCTTTTAAGCTTAAGGTATGTAGCTCTCAATTTTGGTGATCCACGTTTGACAAGTCATACTTCTTTTATATGCAGCAGCTAGATAAACTCTTTTTGACTATCATGACTTTCCGGCTTTTAAACTTTACTTATTCAGTGAATAATCACATAAAAATAAATAAAGCAGAAATGAAAAATATCAAAATAAGATTTTTCTTTGAGATTTTTGTATATTCGAAATCAGTATAATCTATTGCGTGGTACAACATGGTTCTTGTCCAGAAACGATTTGCATGTAAAAAATCGTACCGATTTCAGAAATGTGGAACCGACTCCTGTCATGGAACTACATGAAAATGTAGAGGTTGTACAAGTGGAAGAACAGAATTTACTAGTAGAAACTCTTTTTAGTTTACCTACATCTTGGACATATTTTAAGTGGATTTTTGGACCCATCAGACATAAGTTTAAACTCTTACAAAGTGTCCACGCAAGGTACACCACCTGAAAGTACTTGAAAAAATGTTTTCTCTTATTTTCTTGTTGCCCTAAGATTTTAGTTTCAGATAACGAAAACCGTAGGTCTCCAGCGTCTTCCAATGCAAAGTTATTAGACATACAGTGACTGGCCTTCTTTTTTGAAATGGATAGTATTAATGCGCAAGGATTTCAGTTTGATTTTAGGACTTTCATGAATTTGGAATGACCAATATAATTTTCTTGATCACCTTTCGGAATATCATAGTCAGAGGAATCCAGCAAAATTTGGACGTCTCTTCATGCTTTCTAAACCGAACATTCGATGCAACATTCGATTTGTTCTCTTACTTGAGTTTAAGAAAAATGTCCTAGTATGTGCGTGTCGTGTTCTTCATTTGCTCTGTTTTTCTTATTTTGGCACATAACCTACGTGCTCGACGACTTTCTTCCTAGACGTAATATAAGAGAAGAACAAAGTCTATGTTCATGGAATATTTGTCGATTATATCTAACAGGTGGCGCAGAATAAAAAGGACTATTTTATTTTTGCTCTAGCTCCGTCAGTTTTGATTCGATTGGACCAAACTCTTATGCAGAAAGATAGCTCTTTGAATTCTCTACAAAAACATACCTGAAGGGTTTTTGCAGAGTACAGAATCACAGAATTATTAAAGAAACCGAACCTCAAGAAAATCATCAACTTTCAAGCTCAGAAATCGGTTTTTTCAAAATTTTATTTTTGTATGATGAGTTGCTCAAAATCTTAGTTCAGCACGTTAGAGAACATCGAATTCTGAACAAGAATCATGTCGTTAAAAAAACTTCAAATCTAATCTTAAGTCAGAAATCAGGAATTACGATCATGAATCAAACACTAGATTTTTTCAAAGGTCGCCACTATACTACTCGAACTATCGGTCACTTTTCTCTATGAAACCGAAGAGGATCTCTAATCACTAATACACCATTTGATGCGTCTTGAAAAGCTCTACGACATGTGTTAATAAGACACTTAACGAGGTGGGGCATCATGTTTTATAAATTTAATACTAGACTTTTGCATCGGTCGCCGCTATACTACTCGAACTGTCGATCACTTTTCTCTATAAACCTAACGTTAATTTCTAATCATTCATACATCATTCGATGCGCCATGAAAAGCTCAACAATATGTGTTAATAGGAAACTTTAACATAGAATGGCTCTAAAAATTGGTCGTCATCGTTCTTTTTGATTTTTCTCGTGAACCGTACAAGCCAGAACAAATTTGAAAAAACATTTGAACCGTTGATAGAAGTTATCGTTCACTTTATATATGGCCACGGCCATATTTCAAGAAGAAAAGAAAAGAAATTCCATTTTCGGCTGCCCATAGTATTTCTTTTCTTTTTTCTAACCGTTCGTTGAATAAAAATGTATCAATGGCCATATAATTAAACAGATGTCACATAATTCTGGACGTATGAGAAGCCTTTCCTGTTCATATTTTAAACATACGCGTTTAAAATAAGATGAGAAAAGCATCATAAAACTCAAGCAACATCCCGCAGGACTTTACGCAATAATCCTACGGGTTATGTATGTCAAAATATCCGGCGATGTTTCTTACCTTTACGCAGGATTTTTTCTATGCTAACCCTACATAAACTATGCAGGGTTCCATCACGATCGGCAGTATAAAAACCCTGCGCAAAGGTAAGAAACATCCCCAGATATTTTAATACCGAAAACCCGCGGGACCCTGCACGAATTTTGATTATTTTTTTCAGTGGGAAAGACAGTAGAATTCGGTAACCTCTAAATTCGAGAAGAAAGTGCTTACTACAGTGGTTGAAATCTCATGGAATATCCTACGGATCAGTAAACTTAAAATGAAATCCAATTCTTTGGTTAAATGATGCATTGTGATCACTCTTCTGTGTTCTTTGCGGCTTCAAACAACAGTGTTTTTGTGCTTTGCCAAATGAGTGTACTCATATAGGCTGTTATGGATTTCTTCTTTCTTCTCCTTAACTTTTTCCTTTAAATTCTTTTGACCGAACAGAAGTATAGTCTATAATAGATAACAACTACTGAAAAAGAAAATAAGGTGTAGAACAGAACAAAGATAAGCAAAATGTGTTCTACTTAAAGAAAAGAAACCGAATATGTGTGAAACGTTAATGTTTAATGTTCTACGTTAATGTATATACGAGTTATTTTGTCATATTATGTCTGACAAAGTACGTCGACTATTGTTGATCATTAAAAACGATTTAAGTGATGAAGATAAGCGCAACTTCTTATTTCTCATAAGAGATGATGTTCCACGATCTCGTAGCGATCAAGCATTAACAGAAGTGTTTGATGCTTTGATAGTTGGACATAAGGTCACATGGGAGGATTGTTAACTGGCGGAGTAATCTGGACCGCACCTACCTTTTGACCCTTAATTTCAAGATAATTCGGGAAAACTCAGTACTTCGAGCTCAAATTTTTAGTCTATTACATAAGAAGCATCTTGATGCATTACATTTTAAAATAATTGGTCCTACTGGAGTATTAGAATAAAAATTGATTGAGGTCAGTCCATGGGAGTCCAGGAGTACATAGGAGTCCACCTTTTCCCCCTTGCACAATGAGCAGACACAAGGGCAATGGGGAAATAGCGGACTCCTGGACTCCTATGGATTCCTATGGACTCCCATGGATTCCTGGATTCCTATGGACTCCTATGGACTCCTGAAGTCCAGGAGTCCAAGAGCAAAGTGTTCTTTTTTGGGAATCACTCTCCAAAAAAGAACAAAAGTGTTCATTTTTTGGGACGTGATTCCCAAAAGAGAACACTTTGCTCTTGGACTCCTGGGAGTCCAGGAGTTCGCTATTTCCCCCTTGCACAAGGGAATATATGTGAAAATTTTATCAAGATCAGATGTTATGGGGCAAAAATAGATTTTTCACAGGGAGGGGGGGGGGGCTTAATAAAATAGTTTACAAAAAAAACAAATCACTTCATCTATGCTCAAATTTTAGTATCAACGATATTTTTATTCTCTCACCAACTCTTTCTATACTGTTATTTTTAAGATAAGAGTAAAACATGGAATGTGTGTGTCTTACACAGGAAACTTTGAGCAATTATCATCCATCGGAAATAAGCGAATGGGTAAAACAGTTGTTACTTATTCAACACGAATTGTTATGGACAACAAAGTTAAAATTGCCTGAGAATACAGTCGGCTTTTCGGTGACCAGTGAACAGCGAGAGATCTTAGAGACTAGTGGGTTTCTAGTTGGTAAAATGGCCATGAAATATTTACAAGAATTACTTGAAGAAGTCCAGACAAGTATTATATTCATTGTCGAACCTATGGAATCAAAAATATATGGTTACGCTATTTTAACATCGCCCGCCAAATACAAGGATATTTTAAATGATCTTCATTTGGCTTCTGCTCTTGATAAAAAACAATGGAATGATATTATTAATAATCCCAATATTCGTTACATCACACAGATGGGCATTATCAATGATGCCAGACGCACTGGTTTGGGCACATTTCTTATTGAAAAATGTAAAACACTTTACTCGGACGGTCTATTAGCCGGTATGATGCTTGAACCACTAGAAAATAAAGCTAGTTACAAATTTTTCACGAGTAGAAGAAATGGATTTTCGTGCGTTGGATACTTTGATCTACAAGCAATGATTTATTCTGGTAACACATTCCCTCCAACCAAAACAACAGTTGTCATCTGGAAGACAGACGGTTAAACGGGTTATAATTTAGTTAAAATATGTGTTTCGATCACAAAAATGACGAGAGAATGTTTGTTGACAATTTTCTTGTTGTTTCAACTCATTTTCTCTGTGAAGGCTTCCATCATGTGTTAGATGATATTCATTGAGAACAAATACGATATGATAACGACAAGGAGAGAAAATATGAAATACTTTTCCTGATGGTTTTAATCAGGTTAATAATAATGGTACAAACTCCGTTGAGGTTTCTTCTAAAGGGCGGTTTCATACCTGATTTAAGTGTTTGAGAAAAACCTGTTTAAGGGCACTTCTTCCTTTTTTCTGCTCCTCTGGGAAACCCGAGAAGTCGCTGTCTTATTGGGCCGAAATTTATACTAGATATAGAACACTGAAGAACAAACTCGCTGAATTTTGGTCCAGAGTTTTCTGAAATGTCTTCCTATGGGTTGTCTCGAAAACTTCAGTTTCCATCTAGTCACAATATGACTTCTCGAGAACACGATCCGGTCAAGCTGATATTTTTACTACAGATACTTTAAGTCCTGTCTCAGGCTCTTAATCACTCTTTTCGAAAAATGTCCTGTCAGTACAAAAGTCAAGGGGAAATAGCGGACTCCTGGGCTCCTATGGACTGCTATGGACTCCTGAAGTCCAGGAGTCCAAGAACAAAAGTGTTTATTTGTTGGGAAGTGATTGCCAAAAAAGAACACTTTTGCCCTTGGACTCCTGGACTTCAGGAGTCCGCTATTTCCCCCTTGACAAAAGTACAACATCAACAACCGAGGATAAATACTTAGGGCTGATCAAAAGTTCGTAGAACAATAAATAAAGAGCCCTGTCGAATAAGATGACTGTCTCAATTGCAAAACCAAATGCATCATCGTGTACAGCTTTTCAAGGCGCATCAGATAGTATATAAGAAATCTATTTTTTCGAAGTTCGTAGGGAGCTAGATCGAGTTTACTAATGGCAGGACAGGATCCACAATTGTGGTAAAAGGGCTATCAACCCAGATAGGTAATCATCTTTTTTCCTCAAACATTAGATAACTGAAGATGTGAAATATATCAAATTGTAGCCCATCAAAGACTTTATACAACTGTATATAGGAAATATTTTTTATGTAGTCCATCGACTAACAATGTGGATGAACACTGAGTAGCTATTTACCACAATTTTGGATCCTGTCTCCTCGTCAGTAAACTCAATCTAACTTCCTGCGAACTTGTCGGAAAATAGATTTCTTATATACCACTCTATGTGCCTTGAAAAGCTTTACACGATGATGTATTTGGCTTTGCAATTGAGACATAGTCATCTTATTCGACAGGGTCCTTTATTTATTGTTCTACAAATTTTTGGTCAGCCCTAAGTAGTAAACAATTTGGCCTAGGCGCCACGATTTGAACGAGCAGTTGAACTAACGAGGGGAGGCCACGAAGTGTCCAATCGCTTTTCCTTAAAACATATACGCTTGTGGGTAATCTTTGATGCTGATCACGAATCTGCGCATCTCTAATTACGCGGGTGTTTTACTGAAATATAATATTTGTAACTAAAAATAATGTGAGTGTTATGAATTGCATAGTGTTATGAGATAATTACAAAGATAAATAATTACAAATATTACATTCGAATAAAACACCCGCTTAATTAGTGATCAAATTGTATATATAAATATTAATTCTCATTTTATCAATCATTCATATCTACAGATACAGCTTATCATTATCATGCATGTTACTATTCATGGTGCTGAATATCGTTATTATACCTTTCGAAAACAAACAAACGCAAACGGTCCAAAATGCCAGTTTGACAGTCATAGCACGTTTTGTGCATGAAGGTTCATGATAAAAATTCGATACCAATCAATTTCTGTCACCATGTTATGTGCAGTAGTGCGTCATATTGCGATTTAAGTTATAGAATAGAGATGACTAGAATAGTAGATTGGAGAAAAAACTCGCACTAGAATGCATTAATTGTCCGCTACATGTCTGTATTTATGCATTAAGGGCATTCATTATGCATTTCTTGAATTCATGAGCCTTTTGATCATAGTGCAATACAACCATACCACAACAGAACAACACTAGGACAGAAGAACAGGACCTAATTCTTTTATCGATGAATGAGAGCTTAAAAACGCTCACATTATTTTTAATTGCAAATATTACACTGCAGTAAAACACAGCTTAATTGAGTGATCAGAAAAAAAGAAAGTGATCAGATTGTATATATACATATATATTAATTCTCATTTTAGCAATTATTCATATCTACAGGTACATTTTAGTTAAAACAGTATTAGTAGTATTGTCGGTAAAAAAAAGAATGGACTCGGATGTTTCTTGAATAACGTTCCACAGGAAAGTGGCAGATACTTGCTGTCTCGACCAATTGAAAGCCAAGGTCTGACTGCATCTTTCCAACACGAAAGTCATTTTCAAAATCTTTTTCTAAAGTAGGTTTCTCAGAGGGTCTTTGGGAAACTATATCATAGGTCAAAAACTTGAAATATAAATAGTTCGATTTGTTTTCATGGATAGATAGTCCAAAGTGTCCTCTTCAAAATGGGAGTCAAGCAAGGTTCTCATCTTTGATCGTTTAGGCCTGGTGTCGAATTTCCTGGGAGGTCCAGGACTGATCTTTTTTCACATGTCAGAACCTCGGAAATGACTCTAAACAGGGGTCATCGACCATGCTGAATCTCATGGCAACGTTTGTTTTTACAAAGAGTTCAAAGATCTGCTGAAAACTGAGTTTTACAAAAACTGAGATCTCAAGGTTGTTTTCACCTAATATTAAAAAATTTGCAGTTAAAAAGTCACATATAAGCAGAAGACTGTAAAATACTACAATGATCACCCGATATGTATAAATCATGGAACGTAACAGAATTAGTTGACAAAAAACCAGCATGGAAACAACAGAGATGACCAGTTTCACCTCGCAGTCGAAATCCAGAACAAGTAGAGAAGATCTTTGAAATTTCAAAAAGTCTTAACATTCTTATCAGTTCAGCCTCTCCTGCAAACCAAAAGCTTTTCCTTCAGTAACCGCCGGTTCACACAGAATCCTCTGAAAAAAAGCGTCGTGTACGAAAACGCTTAGAAAAGGTTAAAAGTAGGGTTTTCGACATCTATGATACCTTTATGGGTAGCTGATAGGGACACTATTCTAAATGCTTAAAAAAGGTTGAGAATCCTGTCCTTTCTCCTTCGACTCGAATCTCCATTTTTTTCTCTCTAATCTCTTTTATTTTGTAGATTGTTAAGATCTATTTCCATTCCTCTTCATCCTGATTCTATGAAGGACCTTTTGCCACACAACAAGTGGTTAAATATCCTCTTTCGTCTTTTATTTTTGAGAACAAATGTTCCCATTTTTTTCTTCTTCGTTACCGCAATCTATAACGGTTAC